ATAGGTAGCTTACATTAGTTCTTTAAATTAAAAGACGAGAAGGCGTTGTTATCTACTGATGAATGGGCTGGGCGCTCCGCAGCCCCTTTGGCTTTCTTACATTTTGAGTCAAGGTCTCACTCTGTAATCTCAGCTGGCCTCAGACTCACTCTGAAGCTCAGGGTGGTCTTGCACTCATGGCACCCCCTCCTGCAGCTCTCTCCTGGGTGCTAGGAATGTAGGCAGGCGTCATAACTCCCTGCTTCGAGTCCCCCTTTTTTAAAGAAAAATTTCAGGTCCGGTCAGCATGGAATTTTCCAGCAGACTCTTGGTGATGCTTCAAGTCTGTCAAGAGAAAAACAGACTAAGTAAGATTCAAGTTCAAGGTCATCGTGAGTGGCCCTGTGGTCTTGGAAAAGTATTGTCACCCCTCTGCACTCTTAACAGAAAAACGGGTGACAGTGGCCGCACCTCACAGGGCCGCAGGAAAGATCGTTCAAGGCTACGAGCTCCACACGCGCGAGCCACAGGAACCGCTTCGTACTTCCTACCAGGGCTGAATTAATTCAGCGAACGTTATTTTTAGCTTCAGAGGCGGGGAGGACGGTCCTGGCCTTGTCACTCAGTTCTGATAGTCTTTATCCTGTTGTGCCACCTGGTACGTGCCTTTTGGGGGGACCACGGTGACACAGCCCACTCTGCTTTCCTCCCTCTAGTGGGGAGAGAAAGAGGGTGGCCGGGGAGGAGAGAGAGGAAGCGGCTGTGCTCCTGCACCTGCTGCTGTGAGAACAAAGCCAAGCATGATGCAATCCGGTCGGGTGCAGCTGGGGCTGCCAGGCCCGGAGAGGGAAAGCGGGTGTCAGTTGGGGAAGGTGGCAAGCAGCGGAGTGTACACAGGTGTCCCTGGGTGCCTCACGCAGGATTCCCAGCCCATCACCAGCCCCTCCTCCCCGCTCCCCTTCCTAGGCTCCTGGATACCTCCTGAAGCTGCTCGTCCAGAGTCTGGCCACTCCCCAAATCCTTGCAGCTGCTTCCTAGGCAGGAGCCTGACATGATGCAATGAAGCCCTCTCCCCTAGGTGAGGGCTAGATGGGAGACCCAGGGGCAGCACAGGTCAGGCTGACCTTCCCCAGCAGCACTCAGGATTCCTGCTGTCTCTTGTCCTTATAAACGAGAGGGCAAATCCTCTAGAGGAGGTGGGAAGAGAGACCAGGGGGAGACAAGGGTCTGCACGAAACAGCACTTATTTAGAGAATTACACAGAATCCTGAGATGACACCAAGCCAGGCAGCGGGCCCAGCATCTGTCACTGGCCACCGTCACTGGCAGGCTGTGAGGGTTGTCAGGCTCAGCTCATACACCGCCAGTGAGTGTAGAAAACACGGCTCTCACTGCGTCTTAGAAAGGGGGTTTGTCCCTCAGGTCAGGCAGAGGATTCGGGGGAAACCCAGGGTCCCCTACTGGCCAAGGCGAAATCGGGGTGCAGGAGAGGATTGGAGATGCTGTCTGTGAATATTTATCCCAGCCTCTCCCACCACTACCAGCCAGAGGACAGCTGGGTGGCCTGGCTCAGAACAACCACTAGATGGCAGGAGAAGCTCGAGGGCTCACCCGGCACCGCCCACTCCTTCCCCTCGCTCTCGGGCTCCTGAGCCCCAGAACCAGGTGACCCCAAGTTCCTGTCCTGCGTCCAGCATCGGCCTTGGAATTCCTTTCCCTGTTGAAGTTCACTGCCCAATTCGGTTTGTCCAACCCCAGGCCTGAGTGTTACAGGTAGGTGCGGGCACCCAAAAGGTGCAGCAGAGAAGGGCGTGCTGTGTCCTGATCACGCCTCTCCCCAGTCACCTAGGAGATCAAAACCTGCTGTCAGGAGAGTTCAGGGGTTGGCAGTGTGGCTGCAGCCCGGAGCTCCTGTGTGTGTGTGTGTGTGTGTGTGTGTGTGTGTATCAGAAGGCAATTTTCAGAAGTCCCTTTTCTTCTTTCATTACATGGGCTCCAGGCCTACTACATATATTCCAAGGACTGAATTCGGATAGTCAGCCTTGGCATCTAATACCTTTACCTTCTAAGCCTTCTCACAGGCCCTCACATTTGGTTTTAGAAGGTTTTGTTGTTTCGTTTTTTTTGTTTGTTTGTTTGTTTGTTTGTTTGTTTTTAAACAGGGTCTCACTATGTAGCTCTGGCTGTCCTGGAACAATGTGGACAGGCTGGCCTTGAACTCATAAAGATTTACCTGCATCTACATGCCAAGTGCTGGGATTGAAGTCATGCACCATCATGCCTGGCTAGAAGGATTTAAAAAAACAAAACAAAACACTTATGTGTACGAATGTTTTGTCAGCACGTGTGTATCTGCGCCAGCTGTCTCTCATGCTCACGGAGGCCAGAAGAGGGCATCAGACCCCCCAGAACTGGAGTTACAGATGGTTGTGAGCCACCGTGTGGGTGCGGAGAACCCAAACTCGGGTCCTCTGTAAGAACAAGTGGTGTTAGCCACTGAGCCATCTTTCTGGTTCCCTAGAAGATTTTTCTGAAAGGATAGGAGGGAGGAAACAGGAGGCAAACGCTTTGGGGAAATTGCTGAAATTTTTTGGATAAAAGGGAAAATATCTGGGAGCTGGAGAGATGGCTCAGAGGTTAAGAGCACTGGCTGTTCTTCAAGAGGTCCTGAGTTCAATTCCCAGCACCCACATGGTGGCTCACAACCATCTGTAATGTGATCTGATGCCCTCTTCTGACCTGCAGGTGTACATGCAGATAGACTTTTTATTTTTGGGGGGGAGGGTTCGTTTTTTTGAGGGCTTTATACAGGGCTTTGCTGCGTAGTGTTGGCTGTCCTGGACTCACTTTGTAGACAAGGCAGGCTGGCCTTGAACTCACAGAGATCCACCCATCTCTGCCTCCCTGAGTGTTGTGATCACAGTCCGTGTGCCACCGTGCTTGGCTTAGGTTACTCTTATACATAAAATAGATAAATATTTAAAAGGTGGTGGTGGGGTTAGTGGCGGGGTTCCTGCCTCGGGAAGCAGAGGCAGGCGAATCTCTAAATTCAAGGCCAGCCTGAGTCTACAGAGCAAGTAGTTCTAGCACAGCCATGGCTACACAGAGAAACCCCGTCTGGAAAAAACAGAAACAACCAGCCAACCAACCAACAAACCCAAAGAACCAACCAACCAACCAACCAACCAACAAAAACCTTCTGAAGGAGTTCTGAAGAAGTTCTAATGACAACTCACTGTGAGCTTGAATGAACTTGAATGAACTCTTTGAGCTTTGGCTGAACAACAGAGGAAAAATAGTGGGTGCACAGAGTCCAACTGACACAAATAAACAGTAGTCATGAGGTGTGAGGTGCTCACACTGAGATACGGGAGGAGCCCCGAAAGACAGGAAACACTTCCTTACCTCCGCTCTACCAGGGGACATGGGACAGAACAGCGGAACAGCAAATAACACTGTTAGTCGCCACAGGCCTGTAAGTTAACCAGGTGCATGAGGAGCTCTGCCGAGGAAGGGTGGAGGGGTAAGGGGACAGCCTTTGGGACAAAAGGTAGCAGCTGCAAGTGGGCGAGGCAACAGGAATTGAAGAGGTGGTTTCAGGTTGTAGAGTGAACATTTCAGACCCAAGTTTACAAAAGGATGCTCGTTCTTCCAAGGGTTTGATGGCCCACATCGGAGGAGACCTGGACCTAGTCCACTAGGCTCACCACGATGAATCTGAGGTTGGAACAATGGAAATTAGTTAGTGCTGCTAACTAATAAAGTTACTCTAAAAAAGTGTACTCTAATAACATACTTCAAAAATTATTTGTGTCTGCAGAAATGTCCGTGTATGTGGGTGGGTGTGCTTGCATATACACAGAAGCCAGGAGAAGGCCTGGTTCCTCGAATCTTGGATTATAAATTTCGAGATGCCAGATTTATTCCGTGGGTGCTGGGATAAAAACTAGTGCTCTCGACCACAGTGTCATCTTCCCACCCAGCCTCTACCCTAGTCCTCTTTTAGATAGGCTCTCACCTATAGCTGTGCTGGCTTCACACTCAAAAGCCTCCTTCCTGGGCCTCCTGAGTACTGGGATTACAGGTAGGTGCCACCATAGTGGGCTTTACTGACACCCACAGGGCTCACTGTCTAACTGGCTGGCCTGAAATTCACCATGTAAACCAGGCTGGCCCCAAACTCCAGGGGTGGGGATTAAAGGTGTGCGCCACCACATCTGGGGTACATTAACACTCTGGGCGAGTCCTGCCAAGTTCAGGTGCTCTGGCCAAGATCTCTTGTGATGGGCTCCCAAATGGTTAGCGAAGCCTCCCTCCCCTGTAACACCGTTGGTGCCACCTTTTCCAAGAAGGAAGGAAACTTTACTCAGGAGCTAATACCACTGTCGCACTATCAGGGCCGAGGGAACAGTTTAATCACAAGGAACTGCTTCCCCACGTGATCCAACTGGGGGCTAGCAGAGACTCCTGGAGCATAATCCTTACCCCCCATTAGCCTAGCCAAGAGGCTTCCCAGAGAATTCACTGGGAAATGTGCAGACAATTTCCAGGTGGCACACTTGTCCCTTAAACAGGAAGCAGCAGAGTAAGTGGGAAAGGGTAGGTGGGGTCGCACTGGTTCCCAGAACACACCTGCAGTGTGCAAGAAAGCAACAGGCCTTACCCAAGAGCTGGGAGGGCGAGGCCAGAAACGCAGCAAGGGAGCCTCACAGGATGGCTGCTGCTACATAAAGAGTGCACTCCATACTGTGCCGCCGCTCACCTGGGCAGGGAGCCCCAGACACCTGCTCAGCCCTCAAAGGCTGTCTGGAGTGCTCCTGCACCTTCCAGGGCAGCTCTGGGCACTGGCCTGATGCAAGTCTCAGGAACTTTCCAACAACCCTACTGTAGAGACGGTGTGTGTGTGTGTGTGTGTGTGTGTGTGTTCTGCGTGGCTGCCAGCACAGGGACCCCATGCCTGAGAGGGGGTGAAGAGTCAGGAGAGGGACTGAAGAAAATGAGGAAAACAAACCCAAGTAACATCATTTCTAAACAGTTTTATTTCAAATCTCTTTTCATCCCTCCCCAAAAAGCCATGGGTCGGTACAGCAATCATAAAAAGGAGATACAAACACAAGAGTCAAATGTCTCCCGCACTGACACTTACAAAAAAACCAGGAATATACACAGGGTTTCCAAACAGGACCTGCAGCAGCTACTATTGCCCCTTTACAAGAGTCAAACATGCCTATTAATACAGTATTTACAGACACCCCATCCTGGAACTAATCTACAGGGACATCCCAGCACCCACCCCTCTATGCCCAGAAAAATACCAAAACACACCCAAAGTGCATTTGTTTTGTTTATATCAAAACATCTTTCCCTCTCCCCATCCCACCCACACCCACCCCCCATTTAAGATTGGCCTGCAAGTCTATTTTAACCATTTAGTTATTTTTATACTTTATGAAAATAAATTATACAGCAACTATTTTAATAAATTAAGCACAAAAAAAAAAAAAAAGGGAGAATAAAGGAGGAAAACTAAATGGGAAGACAAAAGCCAGGCCACGCTTTGGCTTGGAGGGCAGGGGTGGCTAAGCAGGACAGAGTAGGTGCAGGGGCAGGGCTCCCCTGTGGTGAAGAACCCCCCCCCCCAACCACTGAGTCCAGAATGACACCCCTAAGCACGGAGTTTCTGAAAAATCACCAGAATGCATAGCAGCGCCCGTGCCACGCAGCACCAGTGCGGGCATCCTAATGTCTGGCCTGCCCAGAGCGGTGCCTGGATCTTGCCTGTCCCTCCTGGGAGCACCAGGGATGGAGAGGTCAGAGCAGCCCACTGTCCACTGAGCTGTGAGCACAGCAGGGGTCACACCCAAGTGGGCCAAAGAGGAGTGTCTTGTTTTCCCTGTCTGTCTCCAGGGGCAGCTGCCATCGCAGTCCTGCTGCGATCCAATGTTGCCGTGTGCCCGCTGCGGCTGGCTGCTTTTGTCTGCTCCTTCATGCCTCTTGGCGTTGTGAGGAGGGATCAGTGGGGCAGGGAGCAGCTCCAGGGACCCTCAAAAACCCTCTGAAGATGAAATGGAGTGAAGGCATGTCACAAACTCAGCATGCAGGATTGGCTTTCCGGGAGGTAGATGACGTGGGAAGGGACAGGACAAAGGACAGGACAGACGAGAGGGACAGCAGAAGAAACTAGGTGACCCTTACCAGGACACCTCGAAGCAATGAAAGGTCAAGGACACATGCAGTCTGCATGTAAAGCCAGGTCCTTTCCTCCGGCCGACGACAGGACCAGCGCTGTTGTCAACTGCAGAACCATGTCCCCAGAGCCCTCAGTGACTCAACCCAACCTCACTCCCCAAAAGGGTCTCCATTTGTTCCTATCACACTGTACTGAGCACAAGGGCTCCAATGCCAAAACAGATGTACCATGGGCACTTGCAGACTTGACTCTCATGGCCCAATAACTCTACAGCTATCATGATGATAATGGGGCACACCTTTCTTTCTCTCTTTTTTTTTTTTTTTTCTTTTTTAATAAAAAAGGTTTTACTCCCCAGGAGCAAATAAATCATTTTGAACTACTGATAAACACTGCTGCAGTGAAAAGAAAGATGGCTACATGTATGCAATAGCACAAACTTAGCGAACGGACAGCTGTGTGGATGACCAGAAATAAAAACCACTTATCCACTCCCCTCTTCCCACGAACCAAACCAAGAGGATTCCCATAGGGAAAATGTCTAACTCAAAGCTCTCCCCCTCCACATGGGGGGTGGGCGTGCCATTCTCTTACAGTGAAAAACAAATCCTAGTCCCCTCTAGTGGAGATGCTCCCAACACCCTGACCGCAGACAAGACTTCTACAAGCGAGGGCGCATGCTCACGCAGACTCTAGACCTTGTGACGCTCCTCACATCTCAGTGACTTGGCCTCTGACTCCTAGGCTCACAGGTCAGGAAGAGGCAACAAGGAAGGGGAAGGTCTTACTTGGGGGAAGTTTCTCCTGTCCCTATATTTCCCACTGGGACAGGGCCTTCAAACAGGCCATGCCCTCCTAGGAGCACGGGGAAAGACTGAAAGGGTGGCTCCCCTCATGGGATGTGCATCAGAGGGGGTGTACAGCCAACCCATCACCCCCTGCTTGGCCTCAAACAGCAGCTTAGTCCGCATGACAGTGGGACAGGAGAGACAGAACTATGGGACACTTCCAGGCCTTTTTCTTTTTTTTTTAAGAGGCTGGCACTGCCATTCACATTTACTTCACCTCGGCATGAACAGGAGACCAGGCCATGTTCAGCGTGGGGACCCCACAGCCACGCCCCTGCCCCGGGCCTACAATACCAGCACAGGCATGCATTTCAAGTAACAACAGGCTGCAGCAGTAGCTGTCACTAGCTTACACTGGCACATACCCGTCTCAGAGAACGTTACAGTAGATCAGTTATAAATGAGTGACGGTTACATAGGCTGGGTCTGAGAGTACTGACAACCCCAGCCACTCCTCAGAAATCTACAGCAGGCCTCTATCACTGAGTGACGGCCTTCCCCAGTTTGAGACTGGCATATAACCACCCAAGTCAAGCTGAGGCCCCTCTAGACCACATTTCCATCAGCACTGTCCACCATGGGCAAAGGATGAAGGCCAATGCTGCCTCCTGGACTCGCTCCTGCTCCCTTCTCCGGTGAGCCTGCAGTACAGCCACTCTGCCTCAACTGCTCTGCCCAACCATTCATTTCCTTCTCCACAAGGTCTCCTGGGTGCCAGGCCATGCCTATAGAGCTGTCTGCCACACTGCTGTTTTGCAGCCCATTTTGCTGAGGAAGGGTCAGGCCAATCGGTTGTGACTGAAACACTTGCAGATCACAAGCACAGGGCGGCAGGAGGGGGAGGCTGCCCAGGCTCTGGAGCAGGTCTGGTTTGCACCTGAGGGTATAAAGTCTGCTGACTTCTAGCCTTGTCCCCCACCGCACCTCACACCCTCTGTCCACTGACTGGGAAATTTCAGTCTAGACTTCTGTGGTCAAGTAGGACCCCAATGCTGCTGATCTAAGGTAGCTGTACACTTGCACACTGATTTCTCTCTTTCTGTACCTTGAGTGTTCTGTCACACTGCTTTTGCCTACAACCCAAAGCCTCATCACCACAGAGCTTTCCTAGACCATCTGATCTACCCTGGCCACACCCACTCTCTAAGATGGTCCTTGATCTTCTGCTGCAATGAGTTGCTCTCCAATTCCTTCATATGCAATAGTCACTGTACAGTCCACTCAGGGCAGGGGTCTTGTCTTCTACCTCGTATGTCCTTTCATGTTACATAGCTCAGAGCCATGCAAACACAAGCAGAAAACTAATTTTTAAATTATGGGTGGCTGAAATGGGAAAGAGTCCCTCCAAACTGTATATTAGCCACTTGAAGACCTCTATGGATTTTGAGTTCTGTTGCAAAATGGTCCTTCCTACAAGATGGTAAGTGACCTGTACTCTCCAGAGGCAGAACTTACAGGTATGCCAACCTCTGAATCATCTCATGCTGCTGGTGTTATGAAGCCACAGAAGAAAAGGGTACCATGAAACATGTCAGAAGTGGAATGGACTGACATGTTCACAGTTCGTTCTGTGGCTCATTTCTTTACAGCCAGCTGAGAAGGCACATTTCTTCCCTGTTTAGCTAAAAGAGGAAGAAGGTGACTCCTTGCACAGAGGGAGCACACAGGCCACTTTTCAGATGAGACAGTTTTTTAAGTTATCTAGACATAGAGGGCTTCACCCTAAACCACCTGGGACCCCAAGCCTGATGATGTTTGTCATCCGAGGCAGATACAAGCAGAGGGAACTCAAAAGGCCATCACATGGGGCACTACAGAAGAGTAAAAGATCCAGCAGCCCCACCGCCCATCTTGACAATTACTTCTTCCACGCTAAATCTTTAGAGCAAACTTATGTGGCTTAGGACTGGCCGTGGGCAGCTTCAGACACAAAAAAGACTCAAGCACTAAGTTTTTCCCTCCTTCCACATGCATCTGGGGAACAGGCAACTTTCAAACTAGCATCTGACAGAGTCCCAGGAAATGAAAGGCATGAGGTCTGACTCAGGAAATGTCAGGGTTACGAGAATGAACGTGGGAAAATGAAGAAGCCCTTGCCACCTCCCATCCCAGAGGTGGGACAACAATGATAAACCTGTGATCATGACTCAATGCCTTCTCTGCACTACAGACATCCCATTAAGGCTGAGGCATGAAGGCTTCTCTCGGAGCACAACAGCTGTTTCTCACTTCCTCCACACTTCCTCTCACTAGCTGACAGACAGGGTAACACTGATTCCGCAGCTGTGGGTATGCTCTGCCACGAAGAATCTGGAAGCACGCTCCAGCAACCTCAGCAGCCCAGGATTGGAGCTCTGAGCTACCAGGTGACAAACACCACTGCCTTGACAGCTGGCAGAAGCAACACAAACATTGTTTTGACCAAAGTGAAATATACAGTTACTGAGGAGGAAGGGGCTGAGGATAGAGAACTGGGTTTGCTTCAGGTCACTGAGCTTAAGGAATTTAGTACAACAAAATGAACACCGATTCCATGAGAGGCAATTCTGAAATCAGGTTTGTAAACCTTAAAGGGAAAGGAGTGGGAGTCACCGCTTCTTGCGGCAAATGTGACTAGCCGGTTTCTCTTTCACCCACCGCCCCTTCCCTCTTCTCCTACTGAAGCTGGAGATGAGAATCGGACTCCTTTCCTCAGAAACTTCCAATCTCATTCTTCTGTACTTCCGTGGCTCCCCCGCCCTTCCAGCTTCATAGAAAAGACTTTAATGCTGCCTTTGGCGCCAGCTGAGCTGCCAGCCCTCCCTCCCACCTTTCCCTTGACCTGCTCATCCCCAAGACCACTTTCAACTCAACGGGTATAACCCCCAGCTGCCTTTGACTGAGTTTTCTACACTGAGAAATGTAAATACCAAAACATAACTTTTGAAAAGAAACAGTGTTAAGACTTCTTCCAGTTTTCCAAGGAGCTCATCTAGTCTTGGGGTGCATGGGGTTGGGGAACAGGAGCCCCACTTAGAGGACGGTTGTGTGCTTCTTCCAAGCCCCAGGGCTACAGGGGAACCAAAGTCTGTGCCAGGAATCACAACCCTCTCTAGTTTCTCTTTCTGCCAAATTCTTCTTTTGTGGTAGCTTCATTTGGTTCTTCGAACTGGAACTTGGCAATCAAATGCCTACGTAAAAGGGGAAGAAAAAAAATACAGAGTTCAATCAGAGCAGTAGAACCAACAGGGAATGAAAGGAGAACTGATTAGCCACTGTGGGTAGAAGATCAGATCTAAAGCAGAACAGCAGCTGACAACCTGATGCTTCCACTGATACTGGAAGAGCAGGAGATGTGCAATTGCTTCTGTTCATTTTGGTCCTTGTTCTGGCCCACCAAGCCACACAGAACATAAACACTCTTCCTAAGGAAACCCCCCAAGGACTTCTTTCAGCTGCCCACCCAAATACTCTGCTCTGAGTTAACTGTGTTTTCAGTCTGATTATGTCCTTCCATAGGATAATGTCTGGAGTGCCCCCCACCCCCAGCAACCCGAGGCTGTGCTCCTATTGACATGGGTTTCTTGGAGGGTACATCACTCACAGAAATCATGGCCTAGCTGAAGGATCCTAGTACTTCTCAGTAGGGAGTTGGGAGTCGGCTCAGAGTGCTTACTGCTTTTGCAGAGGAACTGGGCTTGGTTCCCAGCACCCATGTAACTCTGCTTCCAGAGGACCCAATGCCCTCTTCTGGTCTCCTGGCTCTACAGGCTCCTGCATGCATGGGTGTGCATTAAATCACAAGGCACAGACAGACAGACAAACATGCACACATGTACGTACACACACATGCCCAGATAGAAACACTTTTAAAAATGAGCAGAATCCAGCCAGGCATAGTGGTGCAGGCCTGTAATCCCTGTACTTAGGAGGCAGAGGCAGGTGGATCTCTTGAGTTCGAGGTCAGCCCAGTCTACAAAGGAAGTCCAGAGCAGCCAAGGCTACACAGTGAAATACTGTCTCAAAACAAAACAAAACAAACAACAACAACAACAACAACAAAAAAGGGAGCAGAATCCAGGAAGTAGATGGGCCCTCTAGTCCCCTGCTACTCTTCAATTCTAATCTTTTTATTTTTGAGACAGGATCTTGATACAAAAAGCATGGTAGCTGGGCAAAGTGGCACAAATCTGTAATTCCAGCATTCAAAAGGCAGAGAGAGGTGGGTCTTTATGAGTTCCAGGCTAGCTAGTGACATAGTCAGATCCTGCCCTCATCTCCAAAAGAAGTCTTTGGGGCTGGTGAGATGGCCCAGTGGGTCAAAGCAACTGCTACAAAGCCCAAGGTGGTCTCATGGAAGCGGATACTCTGGGCTGGAGGGGCGGCTGATAAAGATCCAAGTTCAGTTCTCAGTGTCCATGCTGGGCGGGCCACAGGTACCTGCACCTCCAGCTCCAGGGAGTCTGACACCTTCTTCTGTCCTTTCAAGGCATCTGCACTCATGTTTACATACTCCCACACAGCAATGACATAAAATCTTAAAATGAATAAATAAATACAAGGCAAACAGAACCTACTGCTTTTATCTTGAAGTGCTGGGATTACAGACATGTGCCACCACACCCAGCTCCTACCCTAAGGTTGTGTGTAAAACCACCATACAGAGAAATCTTCCTTATATGCTTAAACACCAGGATATGCTAGGAACCACTCCCAGGGCACACAACCTGCATGTACCTAAAGATATGATCAGTTTTACATCCAGTCCAGAACCCTTAAGTCAGAGCCACAGCATTCCAGAGCTAACATTTCTCAGTCTATGTCTGCCTTTCCCTTTGCCCTTGTTAATAGTCATTAGCGTGCTTTCCTATCACAGCACAGGATCTAGGACTTCCAGGGCCCAGAGAAGACACAATACGTTTACCTACCCCAAGAAAACACAATGATGGGGTTGGGGAGATGGCTTAACTGTTAAGAACACTGGCTACTTTTCCCAGCACCTCTTCTAGCCTCTATGGGCATACGCACAGATGTGGTACACAGATACAAAGACAGAATACCCATATGCATAAAATCATACTAAAAGAAAAAGAAAGCATATGGGACAGCAACTCTAGCTGACACACTCCTTCGGAAAAAGAGCAAAGAGGCTGGGGAAACTAGAGCTCTACTTCACTATAAAGCTGCTGCTCCTATAGCTAGGTGTGGAACAGGACCAAGGAACACAAGAGAAGCACAAGTGGCCAGTGCTTCTCAACTCTGAGAAAAGGGGAAACTGGCAGCTGACACTGGAATGGAAGGTAAGCATGTGCTTGTACCAGCATGGTCCAAAACAAGTTCCCTATAAATGCTCCTCCCTACTCAGGCCAACCTCTCATTGTTCACTGTAGCACCATATTAAGCCAAATGTGGCAGTGCATTGAAAAAAAAAAAAAAAAGATTATTTATTATGTATACAATGCCTGCACCCCAGAAACAGGCATCAGATCTCATTATAGAGATGGTTGTGAGTCACCTTGTGGTTGCTGGGAATCGAACTCAGGACCTCAGGAAGAGCAGACAGTGCTCTTAACCTCTGAGTCATCTCTCCAGCTCCATGGCAGCGCTTTTTAATCCCAGACATTAATCCTAGAATTTGAGAAGGCAGAAGTAGGCAGATCTCTGTGAGTTTGAAGCCAACTTGAATTCCAGACCAGCCAAGGCTACACAGTGAGAAGGGACTAGAGAGATGGCTCAGCAGTTAAGGGCACTGATTATTCTTTCAGAGGACTCAGGTTCAAATCCCTGCACCCACATGGCACCCACACTCGTAACTGTAACTCCAAGATCTGACACCCTCACATAGACACAAATGCAGGTAAAACACCAATGCACCTAAAAAAAAAGGTAAATAAATGAAACAAAACAAAACCTAATTCAACTAGGCATATGGTAGTGTACAGTGATATAGTGAGACCCTAGCAAAAAATACAGAAACAAAATAAAAATTAAGAAACCAAGTTAGAGGAAAAATAGAGCTATAGTTCAGGTCTTGCATGGGACCTGCTCTGGTCCCAGGGGATCTACCCCTTCTGGATTATACACACCCTGTGCTCATGTGTGTGCACATATCCCAACACACAACTAAAATAAAATCTTAAGTTAGACTCCACCAGCACCCCGCAAACCCAGTTCTCGGGGAGAGGCAGGTAGGACAATCAGGAGCCCCTGAGACCTGGCAAAATAATAACAGAGTTGGCAAGATTGCAAGTGGCTTAAAATATTGCCTGGAAAGCCTGGTGACTTGAGTTTGACTGCCAGAATCCATGCAAAGGTGGAAAGAGGGAAGTGATTCCACAAGCTGACCTCTGACCTCACATGAGCACACTACCACAACTACCAGTGATGGCAAGAATTTTCAACACAAACCAGGACTCAAGACAACTTACAAAGAAAGTGAGTAGCTCTCAGCAGGGCAGTGGGCATCCCCTCTGTCTCAACAATTTAATTCCTTACTTCTTTTTTTTTTTTTTTTATTGTTGCATTGTTTTTAGTTCTTTTTTTTTTAATTTTATTTTTTTCTTATCAGTTACATTTTATTAACTCTGTATCCCAGCCGTGTCCCGATCCCTCATTCCCTCCCAGTCCCTCCCTCCCTCCCTCATCTCCACCGTGCCCCTTGCCAAGTCCACTGATAGGGGGGACTTCCTCCCCATTCATCTGATCCTGTTTTATCAGGTATCTTCAGGACTGGCTGCAAAGCTCTCCTCTGTGGCCTAACAGGACTGCTCCTCCCTTGGGGGGTGGGGAGGCCAAAGAGCCAGTCATTGAGTTCCTGTTAGAAATGGTCCTTGTTCCCCTCACTATGGGAAACCAATTGGTTACTGAGCTACCACAGGCTACATCTGAGCAGAGGTTCTAGGTTACATTCATACATGGTCCTTGGTTGTATGTCAGTCTCAGAAAAGACCCTGTGCCCAGATATATTTGGTCCTTGTGGAGCTCCTTTGGCAGAGTACAGGGAATCATAAGAAAGAAGGGGATTTAGTCTGATGAGGAAAGGATAGGAGCTCCACAAGGACCAAATTCCTTACTTCTTGTCTTTCTTATGTGATCTGTCTGTGTGGGTTAGTGCACGTGAGTACAGTGCCTTCAGACACCAGAAAAGAGTGTTGAATCCCCCAGGTTGAAAGCTGCTGGACATGAATGCTGGAAACTGAACTCAGGTCTTGCGCAAAAGCAGTATGTGCTCTTAACTGCTGAGCCATCTTTCCAGACACTATTTTTTGTTCTTCGGTCCTTCCTCCCGACCCCCCTCCCTTTAGTTTTTTGAGACAGGATTTCTCTGTGTAGTGCTGGCTGTCCTTGAACTCATTCTGTAGACCAGGTTGGCCTTGAACTCACAGAGATCCACCTGCTTCTAGCTCCCTGAGTGCCAGGATTAAACGCGTGTGCTACTACTGCCATGACTTTTTTTTGGGGGGGAGGGGGTGTAGGGTCTCATGGAGTTGGCTTCAAATCTGCTGTGGCACTAAGGCCAACCTTGAACTCTGACCGTGTGGCCTCTGCCTCCCTCAATGCAGGGATTACAGATGTGTGCCACCATGCTCCATCTAATTTATTCTTTTGAACATTTACTCTGTGGTAAATGAGAAAAGACAGGCTGTTTTTTCTCATCCCCCATCTCAAGTTGTGGACCTTGGAGGGAACTCTTACTAAAATGCATGCCTTTTAAATATAAAGACATTTGTGAACTCCTTTAAGTTCATCTCCCTCTTGTGCTTTCTGTGTCATGCAGCCGTGTCTGGAGGTCAGCTGCAGCACGCACATGCAGTTACACTGTCCGCACCTCACTCATGCTCAGTGCTTAGCTTGCACACTGCTCCCCTACACTGGGCCTGGACTTCAGGATCCTCTTTGCTGCCATCTCCCAAGGGCTAGGATGACAGGGGTCTAACACCATGTTCAGCCTGGTTAAAAAAAAAATAATAATTTTTTTTTCTTTTTTTGAGTAGTACTAGAGATCAAACTTAGGACCTCATGAATGCTAGGCAAGCGCTCTCCCACTAAACGGTATCCCCAGCTCTCTTTTTTAATTCTTTAGTTTGAAATAGGGTCTGACTAAGTTGCTTGAATCCACTCTGTAGCTCAAAAAAGCTTTTAGCTTGGCAAATACTCGGTAAGACAGCAATTCTCAATCTGTGGGTCATGACCCTTTGGCAAACCTTTGTCTCCAAAAATATTTACATTATGATTCATAACAGTAGTACATTTACAGTTATGAAATAGCAACAAAATGATTTTATGAGAACTGAAAAGATGGCTCGGCAGTTAAGATAGCTGCTCTTTCAGAGGACCCAGGTTAAATTCCTAGCATCTACATGGCAGCTCATTACTGTCTGTAATTTCTATTCCAGGGGATTCAATACCCTCACACAGACATGCATGCAAGCAGAACACAAAAAAGTAAAAATTAAAATTGAAAAATATTTTTAAAAAAATTTATAAAGCTGGATGCAGTAACACACACCTATGATCCCTGCACTCAGGAGGCAAGTGGATGGCTTTGAGTTTGAGGCCAGCCTGGTCTACAAAGTAAGTCCAGGCCAGCCAAGGGTACACAGAGAAACCCTGTCTCAAGAAAAAAAAAAAAAAAAAACCAACAAGTTATGGTTGAGAGTTGGCACAACATGAGGAACTGTATTAAAGGGTCACAGAATTCGGAAGGTCAAACACTGGTTATGCCTGTTGTGTTTCAAATGAAGTATGTACCTATTAGAGAATAAATTTATCAGAGAAATCTGTGGGTCAGAGAGGCTGGAGAGATGTCTCAGTGGTTAAGAGCAGTGGATACAGGTTCAATTCCCAGCACCCACATGGCAGCTCACAACTATCTATAATCCAGCTCCAAGGGAGCCAAAACTCTCATATAAACAAACATGCATGCAAAATAAAAATAAGTAAATCATTAAAACAAAAAAAATCTGTGGGTCAGGAAGTGACCTAATGCCCAGACTTGACAGAGGCAGGCATTCCTACCTTCACACTGAACAGCCGCGGCCCTGCTGCTACGTGGAGGACTCCACCTCTTGCTTCTGTTTGGAAATGAGCTGCGCTTCCTTTAGGGACAGGTACACCTCTTCCTGAGGATCATAGTAGTAGAACTTTCGAATGTAAGAGATCAGAGGTCTGTGAAAAGCAAGGAGACTCAGAGTGTAGCATTTATGGGGCCATTTATCTCAGAGAATTTGACTGCTGTTTCCTTTAAGAAACATCTTGCTGAACCCTCTTCCCTTCTCCACTCCTTTATATGGCTGTGACTACTGAACAGCCTTTGCCAACCTGACAAAATTCTCACCTTCTCACTCTTAGACATTCTGTCTCCCTCTCTCTACTGCACTGCACTCTGCCTAAGGCCTGCAGTGTGAGGCCAACACACAGATCTTCCTCCCTTTTCGCTGCAATGTCACAGCTCTAAGACACAAAGAATTGGAAAAACACTGCCTACAAACACTTTATGCCAGGCTTGGCCTCTGGGAGCAACTTGTAAGCTTCAAAGGCATTTCTACTCCCCCGCCCCCACCCTAACCCTGATGACCCCATTGTACTTAGGCAGTGGGAGATCCGGGATGTGATCTATTCTGACAAGCTGCCGGATCCGGAACCTGCACAGATGCTGGAGGGACTTGACATTGCTGAACCTGGACACTGGGTAGAGCAGCTGTACTGGAGTTGGTGGCAGTCCTTCAAGAATGAAAACAGAGAAAAATCCTCAGAGAGAATAATGCAGCAAACACAGCTCCCAGAGGAAGAGAAGTGTGGGGGTGTCATGAAGCTGTTTTGGAGTCCATGTATATACTGTGTGCTAAAGCCCCTCACAAAGGGCTGCTGATAGTCATCTGGGGAAGCGCCACCACTGCATTGAGGGAATTTAGTGTCCTCTGATAACCTCCCCAGCAACACTTTGTTTTGGTTTCCATACAGGGTCCCGATACATAGGATAGGCCATAAAACTCACGATGTAGACGGGCTAGCTTCAACCTAAGCAATCCTCTTGCCTCACCTATAGTAGTGGGACCATAGGTGTGAGCCAACACATCTGGATTCCAGAATCACTCCTCCTTTTTTTTTTTTTCAATGTGTCCTATTTTATTTACAGTCTTACAAGTAAAAAAAAAAAAAAAAAAAAAAAGCCAGAGTCAAAAAGAAAATTAACCAATCCCAATATAATGAACTCAGTGCACAACTTTCTCCTAACAGGACAGCAGTTGGTATGTCCAGGCATGCCTAGAATCACTCTTAATTGTGAAGAACAGCTCAATGAATAAGGTCAAGCTAGGCACTGCTTGGGGCCAAAAGGCCAAGGGGCCAAGCCAGGCCTGAGGTTCTCAGGGAAGGATGAGAACTCAAAGCCTTGCTGTTGGGAATGGGAGATCCTTGTTCAGCATTATCTAGCAGTAGCCTGAAGATCAGGCTCAGGATGTTCGGAGGTACAGTGGCTTGAACGGCCTTTATTACCAGAAGGGGTTACATATGGAAGGCTAGCCCTCTCTGTGGCAGTGCTGGTAGCTCTGAAAGGCCCCACAACATTCCAACTAGTAAGCAGGAAGGAGGACCGGTGGGAGGTGGAGCTAATGTCAAAGCTGCCACTTCTGCAACTGCCTCTTCAGGCCAGGACAGTCCAGCTTGGTACCCTTCCTTCCCTCATTACTCTTTCTACTACTGGCGCATCAGGCTGCATTACAGGAACAAAAATGATGCTTCTGAAAGAACTACAGCAGCTTGAGCAAGCTGGGCTTAGCACAAGGCAGTGCTAGAGTGCCTGCTGCCGTGTGCCTGCCAGCCTGCCAGCCAACACCCCCAGCATCAGCAGCTCTGTGCTGAGGAAGCCCAACCCCCATAGCCAAAGCCACAGAACAGACTCCCACCAAGAATGGCAGGCACACCAAAACAGGTTCAAATGAACATTTGCTCTGGTCTCCATAAGTGAAGGACTACAGACAGTAAGAGAAGCAAACGAAAAAAGGCCGAAAGTTACTGAAGGAATTCTTTCTTTTTCCTTTTTTTTTTTTCCTTTTGGTTTGCCAAGATAGGGTTTCTCTGTGTAGCCCTGGCTGTCCCCTGCAACTTGTTCTGTAGACCAGGCTGGCTCCTGCACCTGCCTCCTGAGTGCCGGGACTAAAAGTATGTGCCACCATACACAGGTAGAATTCTTTTCTTAGCCACAGTCATAGCCAAAGAAATACTGCAAACACAACTGGTTAGAAACTAAAATTCTACCATTGCTGGGGATTAACTTCAAACAGTTTAAAAATCTTTTAGATTGAAAGCTTGAGAAGCAAAGAAATTGCCTCCAAACATCATTTCACGGTTGTTGACAACTGACATTTTCTAAAAACTACTCAATCACAAAACAACCATACTGCACTGTTAGTAAACAGGAAAGCTTTTCTGCTTCTCTTTAAAAAACATTTAACTCAAAACCACACTTAGAGACGCCCCTAACTCCATTCCATACATGAAGACACTAAGTCGCTTTGCACTCAAGAGAACCTGCTCCAAGCACAGTGCTAACAGAGGCAGACTGCCCTCCGCACCTCTCCACCTAAGGAACACAGCACAGGGAGCCTTCAGAGGCATTCCCTTCTTAGATGACTCTGGCACTTTCCTGCTGGCAAAGGCCACCCCTAAGAGCCAGCACTGCTTTAGGAATTACCAGCCTCTGCTGGACACCGCACCCTTGGCAGACTAAGGCTTCTATTCTGAAAGCCTTTATCTTCTTCCCCCATCCAGGTGGCTGATCTTTATCATTTTTTTAAACTTTATTTATTTATTTATTTATTTGTTTGTTTGTTTATTTATTTATTTATTTGTTTGTTTGTTTTTTACTGTGTGTGGCCTCCACTCCCAGGAGGCCAGAGGTGGGTGTCAGATCCCCTGGAGGGAAGAGAAGCCCCAGTCCTCTAAAGAGCAACAAACCACTCAACCCCTCAGCCATCACTCTAGCCCTTTTCCTTAGTTTTTTTTTTTTTTTTTTTTTTTTTTAATAGTCCAGGCTGTGCTGCTTCTGTCTTTACCTCCCAAGCACTGGGAAGCAATCCAGGGAGGAAGGGAGGGAAAGAAAGGAGGGAGAGACAAGATAAATGGGAGATCATTAACACAAGAAAGTCAATGTTTTAAAGAGGAAAGATTTTCTTTGGCTTCTGATTTTGGAAGCTCCAGTTCACATTTGCCTGGTCCCACAGCTTTTGTGCCTTAGTGAGGCAATACAGAGTTAGCAGAGGAAGATGCCACAAAAAAAACTTCAACATTTCAAAGGATATCATCAAGAAAGTAAAAACACAGCTGGGATCCAGGCACAGTGATGCACTGACTCAGGAAGTAGAGACAGATCTATCTCCTGAGTTGGAGGACAGCATGGTCTACACAGTGAGACCTTTGACTCAAATCAAAACAAACAAAACAACCTTAAAAAGACAATGCAAAAGGAGAGACTGTAGTTGCAGATATGGCAAGAGATTAATACCAAAAACATAAAAAGAACTCTAAAAACTCAATAATAAAAACAATATAATCAAATTGAAAAATAAACTGGGGCCTTCAGAGTACAGCCCAGTGGTAGAGCACCTGCTTAGAATGTGCACGGCTTTAGTTTTGATGCCCAGCAACCCAAAATAAATAAATGAAGTTTAAAATTAATAAACAAGTGAAAGTACTGAGCGTAAGCTGGGTGCGGTGACTTTGAGGCCAGAATGGTGTACAAAGCGAGTCTAGGACAGCCAGAGCTGCTTAGGAAATGGGCCCTTGACCATGCCCATGGAGGATTAGTTGAGGACGGAAGACCCACCATTAGTCTGTGTGAGTACAGAAAGGGGCTGAGCAGCATTTACTGCTCTGTTCCTGGGGATGGATACAATGTGAGCAGCTGCTTCAAGCCATGCTACACTGAGTTCCCACCGTAACAGTCCAAGTTAGTGGACTCTGAACTGTGAGCTAAAATCAACCCTTTCTCTGGCTGGAGAGATGGCTCAGCATTTACAAGCAATGGCTGCTTGTAACAGGACCAATTTCCAGCACCCACATGGCAGCTCACATCCTTTTGTAACTCCAGTTTCAGGGGATCTGATGTCCTCTTCCAGCCTCCTGGGGTACCAGGCATACAGGTGGTACAGACATATACGCCCCCATACACATTGTGCTGGATAGTTTTATGTCAACTTGACATAAGCTGGTGTAATATAAGAGAAAGGAACCTCAACTGAGAAAACAATTCTGTAAGACTGGACTATAGTCAGGCCATTTTGGCTCTAGGGCATTTTCTCAATTAGTGACTGATGTGGGGGTGGGCACAAGCCCACTGTGGATGGTGCCACCCCTGGGCTGGTCCTGGGTTCTAGAAGAAAGCAGGCTGAGCAAGCCAGTAAGCAGTACCCTGCATGGCTTCTGCATCAGCTCCTGCCTCCAGGTTCTCACTTGGCTTGAGTTCCTTGGCTTCCCTCAGTGGACTGCGGATAGGTAAGCCAAATAAACTCCTCCCAAAGCTGCTTTTGATCATAGTGTTTTATTACAGCATTAACAACCTAACTAAAACATACATAAAATAAAAATAAATCTTTCAAAGATAAAATAAGCCCATTCTCCCTTTAGTTACTTTTTCATTTTATATTATTATTATATGTTTAATTTTGAAACAGGGTCTCAGCATATAGCTCTTGGCTGGCCCAGAACTCACTTTTAGTTTTTTATGTTTATATATGTGTGCATGCCTGAGTTTATGTGCACCACACGTGTGCAAGCACCCAGAGAATCGATAAGAGGGTACTGGATTCCCTGAGCTGGAGTTACAGACAGCTGTGAGCCACCTGATGTGGGTGCTGGGAACTGAGGGCAAGTCCTCTGCAAGAGCAGTGTGCACTCTTTTTTAAAAGGTTTATTCATTTTCACTTTATGTGTGTAAGTGTTTTGCCTACATGCATATAAGTGTACTGGATGTGTGTCTGGTCTGAGGAGGTCAGAAGGGGGAGCTGGATCCCTTAAAATTGGAATTACAGCAGCGGCAAAGTGCCATGTGGGTGCTGGGAATGGAACCCAGGTTCTTTGCTAAAGCAACAAGTACTTTTAAACACTAAGCCTTATCTGTGGCTTCCCTTAGGTTGCTTCAGAGCATTTTATCATAGCAAGAAAAGAAACTAAGTCAGAAATTGGTACCAGGAGTAGGGTTATTGATAAACCTGATTCTATGGTTCTGAGGCCACTGAACTATTTTGTGGCTGGAATGTAGATGAGTTTGGAACCGTGCATTGAAAAAAACTCTTGAGTGCTGGAAGCAGAGCTTAAATGGCCATTCTCATGGGAACTAAGAAGGCAAGAATACCGAGGAAACTTGGACAGTGGGGCCTACTCATTAGGTTTCAGAGGGGAACAAGTGTTCTATCAGGAGCTGGGCTAGAGGCCATTAATTCATTTAAATTTTAGCCAGGAATGTGCCTTCATTCTGTTTATGTCTGAGAATCTGAGAAAAGTGGAAAGTTAATGGACTAATTTGTTTGGCATAAGAAATTTCAAAACAAGAGAGTAGCCAGGCTAGTGCTGAGAAAGTGGCTGTAATTGTGAAAGAAATCAGAACCACTGAAGTGATACCTCCTATCTGCACTTGCACAATAGGAAAGGTACCTGTGGGAAAACCTTGCCCCTCAGAGGCCCATCTTGTGAAGATCTGGGTTCATTTTAAAAGGAAAGTCTATGCTTGCAGGTCCCCAGAACTCTTGAAAGCTGGAAGTTTACAGCTTGTTTGAGTCTATAGGTGCTCACAGTTAATACTTTGGACTTTTTTAAGTGTTGATCAGTCAGCACAGTGGCTCAGTGGGTAAAGGCACTTGAATCCAAGCCCAACAGACTGAATTCAGTCCCCAGAGCCCACATGATGGAAGGAGAGAACCAACTCCAGCAAGCTGTCCTCTGACCTTTACATGAGCACTATGGCACATAAATGCACACATACATGCACAAATTAATAAATGTGTAAAAAAATGAAATTGGCCAGGGGTGGTAGTGGTACACACCTTTAATCCCAGCACTTGGGAGGCAGAGGCAGAGGTGGGCAGATCTCTCTGAGTTCGAGATCAGCCTGGTCTACAGAGTGAGTTCTAGAACAGCCAGGGCTACACAGAGAAACCCTGTCTTGCAAAACCAAAAAAGATGAACTTGTTAAACACAATGGGGACCTTTACAGTAAGTTGGAAGGGGGGCTGGAGAGATGGCTCAGAGGTTAAGTGAACTGGCTGCTCTTCCAGAGGTCCTGAGTTCAATTCCCAGCAACCACATGGTGGCTCACAACTATCTATAATGAGATCTGGTGCCCTCTTTTGGCCTGCAGGCACACATGTAAGCAGAATACTATATACATAATAAATCTAAAAAAAAAGAAAAAAGTCAGTTGGAAGGCATATATTGTACTATACATTTTAACATGGCCATGAGCCATGGGGTAAGAGGTGGAATTGTGATGGGTTAGTTAGCATTGTCATTTTAACAGATCTATAATAACCTAGGAGATGGGCCTGGAGGGTGCCTGTGTAGGATAATCTTGATTATTTTAACTGAGGCAGAAAGACCCACTCAGGTAAACATTTACACAAGTAAAATAAATAAATCTAAAGAAAAAATAATAAAACAAACCAAAAGCATTTAAAAATTAAAGAGATATTTAAAAGTTGGCTGTGGTGGTACACGCCTTTAATGGCAGCACTGGGTAGCACAGGGGCTGGTGAATATGTGAGTTTTAGAGACCAGCCGGGTCTAGTGGGCTCAAGGACAGCCAGGGCTGTAGAGAGACCTTGACTCAAAAAGAAAAAGAGAGAGGTTTAAAAGACATCAAACTTAGTTGGGCATGGTGGCATGTGCTTGTAATCCCAGTACTACTGGAGGCAGGGCAGACCAGTCTGTGAGTTCAAGGCCAGCCCAGTCAAATTGAATCCAGGACAGCCAAGGCTATACAGAGAAACTCTGTCTCAAAAACAAAAACGAAATGGATCAAATTTGTATTAAGACTAAACTTTAGTTTATAGGGATAGGCATTTCAATGAGCCAAGTATGGGTAACAGAAAGATGAAAAGTATATGCTTATGCCAGCACTGGGGAGGTATAGACAGGAAAATCAGCTGTACAGTCAGTTTGAGGCCAGTGAGGGCTGCATGGCATTGCCTAGAAAAAGAAAGAAAACCAAAAGCAAGTCTTAACTATGAACAGCAAAGCAAGCCTGCCTGCATGGTTTTCACTTTATACCTAGGAAGTGGTATGGCTACCTCTTCTCCACCAAACGTACAAATTGGATCAGTCAAATCTTTGGATCAAATTTTACAGAAAATTTGGAGAACCATATTGTAACCATGGGGTTATAATAGGTAAATTTCAGATAAAATGATGTATTCTTGAGACAGGGTCTCATTCTACAGTGCTGAACTTGATATATTTAAAATCTCTTCCCAGCAAGGTATAGCCTCCTCTACTGAGGAGGCTAAGGCAGGGGAACTGCCCCGAGCTCAGGATTAACGTAGGCTACACATTGAATGCTGAGATTAGAAGTTCATCTTCAGTTAAGTACTGTGCTTGAGGCCAGCCTGAGATACACGAGACACTGCTTCCCAAAGCAAATAAATATACACAGAGAAAGAGATGGAACCAAGAACGTGATTCCAGTGCACAGTTCGCCCAGCTTGCCCAAGACCCTGGGTTCAGTTCACGTCCTTAATGCAGGGACTTCAAGTATGCCCACTACAACCAGTTTATGCCGTGTGGAGGCTGATTCTGGGCTTCATGCATGCTAGACCAACACTCTACCAATGGAGCCAAACACCCAGTCCCATTATCTGTAACTTAAATGGAGTAACTGATTAGCTAACGCTGAGGTGGTTATAAGAATTAAGAGGCCAGGCGTGGTGGCATACACCTGTGATCCCAGCTCTCAGAGGCAGGCATATTGCTGTGTGTTTGAGGCCAGCCTGGTCTACAAAGTGAGTCCAAGACAGCCAAGGCTACACAGAGAAACCCTGTCTCAAAAAAAACCACACCACCACCAATAATAATAATAGATATTTATACTAGAAACTTGACCTACTACTTAGTATGTAACAGGCACTCAATGAACAGTTGCAGGTACTACAAACTCTAACCCGTGTAGAGAGTTAGAGACCTTAGCTGCAATTTCTGATGATGAAGTACATTTGTGGGATAGAGCTATACTGGAAGAGCTCTCAATAGTCTGTGAGCAGAGACGCTCCAGAGTCATAAGACCCGTTGGGAGAGTTGCCTAGTTCACCAACAAGCAGAGCTTATTACCCCATCCCTGCAAATCACATCTTTGTCTTTCCACCATGCCTTCCTTAAGGCTATGAGCTCCGAGGGCATCAACCGGCTTACTTCTTATACTGAGTTACAATTAAATGTTTGTTAAGTAAATATCCATCATACCCACAAATGTTAAAAACGTAGAGTCAATCCTATGAAGAATTCTAACATTTTCCTTCAACTAAGACAAACGCATGAGCCCCAAACACATGAGCCCCTGCGACGCTGTTGGCAGCACTGCAGCAAATACCAAATGAAGTGAGAATTAATACAGTTCACACCCTGTCTTGCCTTATTTAAATCACCAACATTATACAAACACCACTGTCACCTGGCCCTATCCGGTTCCTGATGTTCTGCCCGAGGCTCCTCAGCAACTCCTACATGTTAGAGCAATTTCTTGGCACCCCGCTTAGGAAGCTAATTTGATTCAAAGTGAAAGCAGGAAGCTCTCACTTTAAGTTCTGTTTGTATCATACAAATTCTTCACATTAATGTGCCTGCCACTTTTCTTTACCCAATGCTAAAAACCGAGTTCCTTTATACCATCCCTTCACCTCTTCTGAAAGAGAGCAGGCAGATACCTTCTCGAGTGGGCTGGTTGACTGTGACCTCTAGAGAAGCCAAGGCAGGACAGGGCTCCCAAAGGGAGAGAAGTCTGTGTTTTCACCGACAGCAGGGATGCCAATAAACCAAACAAGACCAACACAACAAACCTGCTCCTTTTTGTCAGTTAGCACAATATGGACAAATCCACAGCAGGCATCTCTTAACCAATGACAACTGAACCCAGCCTGTGGACCCACTCACCTCTGCTTTCTAGTGAGTCCACTTCACATCCCTGCTGTTTCACAAGTAACAGTTAAGAAGCCTGTAACAGCAAAAAGCAGCTATCTCATTGTCAAATGTTACCAGATGCCTGGGCTTCGGAGATGGGACCAGTTTTCTTATTCATAAGCTCAGAGAAGCAGGCATCACTCTTCAGAACATTGTAAGTTTCATGTACAAGGCTGGGATTAGTCAATGAACTCCGCAGGAAACGTCCCTGCTCTAATAACGAGCACAGAGTTTCAGGTACGGTCTTTGTTTGGGGTGGAACATTCTGGTAAGATACTAGATCATATCCCAGATAGGCTTTTAAGTAATGTAACTAGCAGAAGGTTGAGGCAGAAGGACCATATGTTTGAGACCAGCTTGGCCTACACAGAAGGCTCAAGGCCACCTGAAATACACAGTAAGGCCCTGTTTCAAAGAAGCAACAATAAGAATTACTGTAACTCCGGCTTTACCTGGGACCCTGGATCTCAAGAAATAGAGAAATTTCCCATTCTTGGAGTGCATGATGGCTCTCTTAATGAACTCCACCACAGACTGACAACGATCCTCAAACTTGGGATGGCACCATAAGCTGAAGGTTCCTGAAATGAAAAATTTAAGAGTAAATTTACAAACTTTTTTGGTAGGGTGTGTTAACATATTCTCATCATCTGAGCACTCATGAGTCTAAGGCAGGAAGATTTGAGCTAAAGGATAGACTGGGCTGTGCAGCAAAACTCTAAAAATTAAAACAAACAACCAAAAAACCTCAAATGATCTAAGAGGCTGATTTGAACATTTTCATTTTTTGTTTGTTTGTTTGGTTTTGCTATTGTTTGTTTTTTTAAGACAGAATTTCTCTATGTAGCCCTAGCTACCCTGGAACTTGTTCTGTAAATCAAGCTGACCTTGAATTCACAGAGATCTGCCTGCTTTTACCTCCCTACTACTGGGATTAAAGGCACCACCACCAACTGGCTAAAATTTTTAATATTTTCAATAATTAAATTCTTAAGAATTAAATTTTAAACAAATTTTTTGTTTGTTTGTTTGTTTGTTTGTTTAAAAAAACACTTTGCTGGGTATGGTGGCACACACCTTTAGTCCTAGCACTCTGGATGCAGAGGCAAGTGGATCTCTGTGAGTTCAAGGCCAGCCTGGTCTATATAGTGGGCCAGCCAGGGTTACACAGAGAGATCCTCTCTTGAAAACCCAAAACCAATACCAAAATAAAACAACAATAACAAGAGCCGAAAATCTTAAAATTAAAAAAAAAAGGTCCAGCAAGATGGCTCAGTGTGCAAAGGCGCTTGCCACCCACGATGACCACCTGAGTCCTTGCCCCAGAGCCAGCATAGGAGGAGGAGAGAACTGATTCCCTCAGGCTGGCCTGTCATACGCACGTTTGCACACACGCATTCATAAAACACATAAATTAAAAATAATTTAAAACATTAATTTAGAAAAAAGTAAAGATTTTTCTCTTCCATATGTACACTACTCCTTAATTTCTTACTTCCCATATTTATGTTTATAAATGCTAAGTACATTTATCATATAATGACACACACTATAAAAATGTGAGAGGACCATAATAAAATGTGCATGGTCTCAGCTCTACGCCTTCCAGTACACACACTGCTCTTCAAGTATTCATTCTCACATAACAGGCACTTAACTGAGCCCCTAAGACCCCATGCCCAGAACATTGCCAAGTTTCTACCTCAACTCCACAGTCCCAGAGGGAAAAGGGAATCTAACCCTATGACTTAATACTAGGTTCAAAAGAATCACCCACAGAAAGAACACAACTGAGGGTCACTACTCACTCCAGGGACCTGCAGCCTGAGTCTCTGCAGCACCACTGGAAACGATGAGGGCAGGTCCCACTGCCAACAGGCCCAGAAACAACGCTGCTTTCTACTAAAAACCCCCATTAATGTGAGAAAGGACGTTAAACCAAAAAGCCACTGGAATAGTGCTTAGGAGAGCTCTTATTTCCTCACCTCTCAGGAACCTAAAGAACAAGAAACATTCGCCTACCATTCTCAGAGTCTAGTCAGTTACCAGTCTAACTGCTTAACAAAATCCCTCGTTCTGAGACACTTTATTTCGTATTGGCTTATCTGTGATTCTATTGTTTTGGAACAGCGGGAAAATAGGCAGCAATGGCTTCCTACCACATCCCATTTCAACAATTACCTAAACCATAACTTCTTTTTCTTTGTTTGTAAAGATCTGTTTTATTTTTTATTATGTGTATGTATGGGGTACCCATGGAGGCCAAAGGAAGGCATCAGATCCCCTAGACCTGCAGTTTAAAACAGCTGTAAGCCTCCTGCCGTGAATGCTGGTAACCGAACTCTGGTCCTTTGGGAGAGCAGCAGGTATTCTTAACCACTGGTCATCTTTCCTAACCCAATTCATGGCTTCTTTTTTGGTTTTGGTTTGGTTTTTGTTTTGTTTTTTGTTTTTTCAAGTCAAGGTTTCTCTGTGTAGCCCTGGCTGTTCTAGAATTGACTCTGTAAACCAGGCTAGCCTCAAACTCAGAGATCTACTTGCCTCTGCCTTTGCCTCCTGAGTGCTGGGAATAAAAGGCATGAGACACCACCACCTGATAATTCATGACTTTTTAAGCTTTTTCCACATATGATCCTTTCTTGCCTACAAAATTTTATATGCAACACAGGTGCCTATAAACAGGTTTATAAAACAGATATAAAGATAAAACATTTTCTGAAAAAATAAATCACAAAGAATTTCATGTTTATATTTATTTGTTTGCTTATTTTTGAGGGAGAGTTTCGCTTTGAACTCTAGCCTAGAACTCAGCGATCTACCTGATTTTGCCTCCTGAGTGATAGGATTAAAGGTCCATCACTCAGCTTTTATTTTTCATTATTTTTTTAAATTTATTTTTACTTCATGTACATTGGTGTTCTTCCTGAATGTACATCTGTGTGAGGGTGTCAGATCCCCAGGAAGTGGAATTACAAACAGTTGTGTGCTGACATGTGAGTACTGGGAATTAAACCCGGGTCCTTTGGAAGAGCAGCCAGGACTCTTAACTACTGAGCCATCTCGCCAGTGCCCCCACCCCCCAGCTTTTTTTTTTAATTTAGAACACACAATTTTACTATTTATTAAAGACAAAAATAAATTTGCATGCTAAGATGAATATGTCTGCTCTTTTTACAATAAGAATTATATCTTGGGCTGGTCATAGTGCACACTTTTAATCCCAGCAGTTGGGAGGCAGAGGCTGGCAGATCTCTCAGTTCTAGGCCAACCTGGACTATACAGTGAGTTCCAGGACAGCCAGGGCTATGTAGAGAGATTCTGCCTCAAAAAAAAAAAAAAAAGTTAAATCTTGGCTAAATGTTTGATACTGCGATACTGCAGGATTTGAAACACTTTCAACATTTTTCAGAGTTGATAGAGATTTAAAACTAAATGTTGTAGGCTGGAGAGATGGCTCAGAGGTTAAGAACACTGGCTGCTCTTCCAGAGGTCCTGAGTTCAATTCCCAGCAACCACATGGTGGCTCCCAACCATCTGTAATGATACCTGGTTCCCTCTTCTAGTGTGGAGACACACATACAGGCAGAACATTGTACACATAATAAATAAAAATAAATCTTAAAAACAAAAAAACCCTGAATGTTGTGGTATGTGCCTACAATCCTAGCACTTAAGAAGGAGGGACAAGAATCAGGAATTCAAATCCAGTCTTGGTAATATAGCCAGTTCAAGGTAAGCCAGGGCTACACGAGACCCTGTCTTAAATAAGACTAGGGAGCTAGATCAGTGGCTAGTACTTGCAGTGCATGCATGAGGACCTGAATCCATGTAAAGCTGGATGTATATGTGGTATCACATATCTGTGTTTCCAGTACTCCTGGATCTGTGTATCCAGATACTCCAGTGGTATCACTTATCTGTGTTTCCAGTACTCCTACAGCAAGCTGGGAGGCAAGAATAAGAAAATCCCTAGAAGCTCAGGCCAATTATGCTGATGTATGCTGGTGTACCCTACACTAGTGACAAGAGAGTCTGTCGCAAAGTAAACAAACATTCAAGGTGTCCTCTAACTTCACAAGCACCCTGTAGCCACCCTGCTTCTTGTAGTGAGAAGTCTAGAATTTTGGTGTCTTTAAAAAAAAACACAGAAATAGGGGCTGAAGAGATGGCTCGTTGCTGTCTGCTCTTCCAAAGGACCCAGGTTCAATTCCCAGGACTCACATGGCAGTTCACAACTGTCTGTAACACCAGTTCCAAGGGATCTGACACCTTCACACTAATGCACATAAAATTAAATTAATTTTAAAAACCCACAGAAATAGTATAAGAATGTGTTTTGTTTCAATCCCAGGTATGGAGATATATGGAGCTGCTTTGAACTATTTGCAGCTGCAGACTATGATTTGCCTCGTGCTCTAGCACAAGCTGGTTTTGCCAGCTGCAGATAATTTCTGCAATTGTGTGACATTTGGAATTCAGAGAGTGTATAAATGCTAGAGCCCCACAGGCATCACTGGTGGTTGTTGGGTCATTCAGGGGGGTTGGTTGTAGTTTGTTAGTAATTATGCTAAAAAAAAAAAAAAAAGTAAAGAAATTAGATTCAAGTATCTCCATCTCTCTCTCTCCCCTCTCTCCCCTTTTTTCCCTCCTATCTAGTGATAGGGATTGAACTAGGGGGATTAAGGGTGGGAAAAAGAACTCACAAAGTAGCAAAGCTCTTCTCTCTCTCTCTTCTCCTTATCCTCCCATTTCTGTCTCTCCCTCTCTCTCACATACACACACGCACACACACAAAGAGAAAGCGAGACAGGCTAGACAGCTAGCTTAGAGTTAAGGGCACTCAGTACTTTTGCAGGTTTGGTACATACACTCATATCAGGCAGCTCATGACTGCTGATAATTCCAGCTCCAGGAAACCTAACGCCTCTTCAGGTGGTTCATATACATACACTCAGGCCCATACACATAAAACAAAAACAATGAAATAAAAATGTGAAAGGAAAGCAGGGCACTAACTCAGCAAAGGTAGAAAAGGCTGGAGAAAGGCTTTCTCCTAGGGGCAGCACCGCTCACCTCGATAGTGCTCCATTCTAGTGTGATGGGTGATACCCTGTGATCGAAAGCTGAGGCTCAGGATGTAACGAGGATCAGAGCTGTCTCGTACCAGGAAAGAACCATCTGGCTTCCCTTTCAGCTTCATCTCTGCATCTTCCCAATTCATAGGCCCCCAATACCAACCACACTATAAAAGACAGGAACAATAAGGTAGCCAACAGAGAAATGCCAACGCTCTGAGCACAATTTGTCTTACCACAGGAGAGTTCCCCCATTCTCCAAAATATCTAAGATAAAAGCCACTAACACTTGTAACAACCACAGCAGTGAACACCAGGCTCCTTACACTTTTGAGTTCTCCCAAGCACCAGAAGACTAATTCTACATTTCATTACCAATGGCCCCTGTTAAGGACCAGAAGGAAGTTGGTCAGTTTACCTAGTAAAAACCATCTTAAGACTATTCCAAATATTTCTCTACAATCCTCTTCCATTGTGTCTGACTTTTTCCCACCAAATCCAGTCTCCTTACATTTCCTATGGAACAAACAATAGCCTACTGTCTAGCCACTGTGAATACGGAGGCATACAAACTCCTCTTCCTCTAAAATCAGTCAGGACAGTACAGGCACAGAACTCAGGTGGGGAGGAAGGGTGAGCTACCAGCCCTCAGGCAACCCTACCTTCTCCAGCTCTCGGAGACTGGCTGCAAAGCTGCTTGAGTCGGGGCGGTACAGGGGACACTGGAGGTGCTGTGGAGGCTGAGCGTGCAGGGATTCCGACGCTCTGATGGGAGCAATTCGGGGAAATGCATCTGTAGGGCAAGAGAACGGAGGGCACTTGTTTATTTGCACTGCTCATACCACAGACAGACATCCCCTCCCCCCAGAAAGAGATGCTAACTGAAGAGGGGCAAGGCATTAGAAGCTAAGCTGGAGAGGGTGGAGGCCAAAGCGGTGGGAAAGAGCTGGATGGGCCAGAACAAAAAGCTGTGTGAGCTCGTGTAAGCTGTGAAGGATGGGGGGGGGCACTCGACCCCAGGAAAGCAGTCGGGGAGCCGCTCACTAACCTGACTAAGGTGACTACGTCAGGGGCTTCACCAGCCTAGAGCGATGCCAACTTCTCCCACCTCGAAGTGAAGTGCCGGTAAAGCAGCCTTGGAAATAGTGACTTGCTTACTTGCCCAGGGAGAGTAACGATTTTGCCAGGCAAGTAGAAAAGAATGCTGATTTCATTCATTTTATTCCTTGGGTACCAGAGGCTGGCAAAGCAGGTATGGGCTACTAAAGGCTTGGTACTTATTTACAAGGCTGCAGTAAATACCAAAAGCTTAGAAAAGAAACCACAGAACTTTGATAACCAGCAACATAATAAACTTCTTCACTGAACTGACATTAAGGCAGTTTCTTAAGTGATATCTACTGAGAGCCTAAAAAATGGCCCCGGAAGCAGGGACCAAAAATTCCAGTCTTTTATTTCTAAGAAAAATAAGATTTACTTCCATAAAGAAACAGGTTAGAAAAAAAAATAGTTTTTAAATTAATTTTCAAGTTCTAGTCCAGCCAAGGGGCTAAAAATTGGGGCTTTCTCCTAAGTTGTAGTTTCCATAAATAGACTTTTCCCATCCTTCCATTCTTATAACTCTTGCCTCTAAGCTAAGCTAACCTGGGGCGTGGGGTGGAGGAGGCGGAGGTAGGGGGAAAGACTGCAAGGAAGACCCCATCGGAGCCACAAGGACAGATGTAGGCAGCGTCCCACTGATATCATCTAGAAGAGAGAACAAAAGCAAGAGGTTCAGCAAAATGAGCATATTAACAGTGAGGTGAAAGCAGAGGAGGTGAGGCTCTCAGGCTGCCCCCAGGGCAAGGCAGCCTGGCCTCCCTGGCACCTTTATGCATGGTGATAGGCAAGTCATCCCAACCAGCTCTGCTTTCTCAGGAAGCAGGAGCGGGAGGGTGCTCCTAAAGCAGCTCAGCAGCTGGCGCTGAGGGCACATAAGTGTGAAGCTGGTCAAGGACAATGAATACTGCTGCATGCAGAGAAGATGCCTGCCCATCTATGAGCCTACAGGAATGACAGGGGTGTGGACCAGGGGACAGGAAATAATTGGGTCATCAACAGAAACCCAGACACTTATCTGGCTCCTGACAAAAGAACAAGTCCCTAGAGCTCACCCTCCTTCTAGGGCAACACAGCGAAAGGGCAGGTCGGAGATTGTACCTAGGAGGCTGAGGCTTCTTCTTGGAGGAGGAGGGGGAGTTGGAGGGTGTGGAGAGGTCAGGCCCCGCTGAGAAATGTCCACGTCCACAAGTGACACTGTCTCACCTGAGGGATTAAAAAAGCAAGCATGTTACAGAAGCACCATGCACAAAGCTGAGGCCAGAAGGAAAGGGAGACACAGGGCAGGCAAGGGAGGCCAGAGGGCCAAGGGTCCCAAAGCTTACAGTCCACAGCTCTGCAGGCTGGAATTACCCCAACACCAACTGCTTAAAATCCAGTTGTTGCTGGGTTGTGGTGCCTTTGATCCCAGCACTCAGAGAGGCAGAGGCAGGTGGATCTCTGTGAGTTCCAGGACACCCAGGTCTACAGAGTCAGTTCTAGGATAGCCAGGGCTATACAGAGAAACCCTATCCCAAAAATAGCCCCCCAGCCCCCCAAAAATAATTCCAGATGTTCTCAGGAAAGTGAACTGGCTCAGAGCTTAGGAGACTTCCTGCTCTTGAACAGACCCACATCTGTTTTTCCACACCCACATGGTGGCTCATAACCACCCTTAAGGCTAGTTCCAGGGCATTCAGTGTCCTGCAGGCACTGGACATGTACACACGGCACACACATGTAGGTAAAACAACTCATATACATAAAGTAAGGAAAATAAGGGATGGTAGGATGGTAGGTAAAGAGACTTGCCAACAAACCTGATAATCTGAATTCAATCCCTAAGCCCTGCATGGTGGAAGAAAAGAACTCTTTTTTTTTTTTTTTATGTTTTTATTTTGTTTTGTTTTGTTTTTTTGAGACAGGGTTTCTGTGTATAGCCTTGACTGTCTTGGACTCGATCTGTAAACCAGTATGGCTTTGAACTCACAGTGATCCTCCTGCCTCTGACTTCCCAGAGTGCTGGATCACAGACATGTGCCACCGCACCCAGCAAGAACTGACTCTTGATAATTATTCTCTGACCTCCACATGTATAATGTGGCACACAATCAGTAAATAAAATGTAAATTAAAAAGAATAAAATATTAAATTAAAAAATTAATCCTATCATTCCAGGGCTGGAGAGATGGCTCGGGAGTTAAGAGCTCTGGCTGCTCTTCCAAAGAACCAAGGTTTGACTCTCAGCATTCACACAGCAGCTCACATCCTTCCATAATTCTGGTTCCGAAGTATCTGATGCCCTCTTGTAGCCTTTACAGACACCAGGCACATAAGTGGAACACAGACATACATGTAGACAAAATACATATACATATAAAACAAAAATCCTATCATCCCTTTACCACACTAAGGGCCAGGTTTCCTTAGGAGAAAAGTATTAGCTTAGCCCGACAGTGAGAAAGCCATCCAATGTTGTCTCTGCCACTGACTTACCTTGAATAAGGGTTCTAGTTCCGAAAAGAAATCTTTATCAAATGAAATCATACCAATTGTCTTTGCAGACTTGCATACCAATGTGGAGCAAGGCACGTCTATAGGCCACGTGAACACAGCAAAAGCAAGAGCTGGGAGACGCTAACAGCTGGGAGAAGCCAGTGAGATGGCTCAGCATTCAAAGTGCTTGCCTCCAAACCTGAAGCCCAGAGTTCAACTCCACAAACTGTCTGCTGTCCTCTGGCTGCCCCACGTGTGTGCTGTAACACACATGTGCATGCACACACAGTAAATGTTTAAAAAAAAGAACTTCGGGGTAACCGGGCATGGTGGTATATTCCTTTAATCCCAACATTCAGGGGGGCGGGTAGACACAGGAGGAGTTCAAGGTCAGCCTCTGCTACACATGGGTGTTTGAGGCCTGACAAAACTAAACTAAAGTCATCTGTGAAAGTTTTAGGATGCTGGCCATGGATTGGTAACTGTCAGCCTCACTGCCTTGAGTGTGCAATAGGTCAGGGAAGTCTAGGATGCCACTTAAAAGTGCTAAGGCTCTGTCTTTACCTCAGAGGACAAGTGTGCATGTTCCTAAGAGGAAACAACTATTAACTAGAAAAGTATGTAGCCAATAACATGAGCAATTCAGTAGATGTCTACAAGATGTCACTTGTTCTAACAACTCTCTAGAACCTACACAGGTGGGGACCCATTGGCCTGGAAATGTTCATTCTATACCATAATTCTTCTAATCACCTTTAAAAGGGCCTTAATATCCAAAGAAGTTAAAGACTGGCATTTTAAATTTAGTTAATTGGGGCTGGAGAGATGGCTCAGTGGTTAAGAGCACTGTCTGCCCTTCCAAAGGTTATGAGTTCAATTCCCAGCAACCACATGGTGGCTCACAACCATCTATAATGTGAACTGATTCCCTCTTCTGGCAGGTGTAAATGCAGATAGAACACTCATATATACATAAAATAAATAAATCTTTTTAAAAAAAAGTAAAAAAAATAACAAATTTAGTTAATTAAGTTTTTTGAGATAGGATCTCTCACTATATAGCCGATTGGCCTGAACGCACTACAGAGACCACAGTGGCCTTGAATTTTGCAGTCCTCCTTCCCCTGCCTCCCAAGTGGTAGAATTACTGGTTATCACACCCACCCAAAAAGACTACGGTTTAAAGGGCTTCTTAGTCTCAACCGAGTAGGCCAGCTAGCTTTCAGACCTGAGACAATGTGAAAAAGACCTTTTTACAGCTTCAACTCAACCAGGGTCTTCACGACTGACAGAACAGAAGAGAAGGGCTCTCTCTGAAAAGCTTCCCCTACTATGAGATGGCATGGCAGTGACCCATTACCAAGAGGACACTCAAGAGCCTTCTCACTTTAGCAACTGTGTTCCCTGCTGCAGGAGGGCTGACACAGTGAAGAGCAGGAACAGCTGCAAGAACTGCTAGCCCCTAAAATGGAAAGACAGGAGCTCCTGCAGTCCCCTTTGCCCTGAGCCTTCAGGCCAGCCGCTCACAGCTCATTTCTATTAGATCATCTAGGAACTTCTTTGGAAGCTGGGACAGGAACCATGACTTCAAATCAGTCTTTTATGCATTGCAAGCTTTTTATCTGTGTAATTATTGCCTTAATCTGTATGTAATGACACTGAACTGTGTAACCTATAGGGCTACCCAACTACCATGCAGCACCCTTTACCTTCAAGTGTAAGGCATCTGAAATCAAGAACACACTCTGCATGCCATAAAAACACCCCCAGATCCAGGGGCATGGCATGAAGGAAATCACTGCAGACAGCCAGAAAGGTGCCTGGAGTTCCCTAGCAATGCATCTGCATGGGTGTTTCCTGAGAGGGCTCAGAACACTCCCAATTTCAGTTGTCAGAATAAAAAGAAAGACAGTCATGATCCTTACCTGTGAACAAGGGGCTGAAGGAGACCGGAGAAAAGGCACTTTGAGTTCTTGTCAACCTGGGTTTCCTAGGGAGTAAGAGAGCACACAGAGAATAAAAGGGAATGAACACATACACATTTATATCACCAGAACACTGGATTCCAGATGTCCTGAAACACAAAGCAAGCCCTTTATTACAGACACGCTGGCAACACTTCCGTAATAAAACCTAAAATTTAAAGGAGAATGAAATAATTAAGGCAATTCCTTAAATAGATTTGGCTACCAAATTCACCAGCCTACAAAACAACAGCAATCCCTTTTGGATCCTAACATGCCCAGCACATGAGAACACCTTGCGTGGTAATTACTAAGACTATTTCACAGAGAGCAAAGTTGGATGTAGAGTTGATTCTCAGCTGAAAGCCAGGTAAAAGGCTTCAGGCCTGAGTAGCTGCCAGTGTGGAGGAGCAGCTCTCCCTCTGAGCCTGACTCTAAGACAAGGTTCCAAATGGAGTCAGGAAGCCAGGAAGCACACCTGGCCTTAGAAGAGCACTAGAAGATACACTGCCATCCTCCACCATGAGCACTTCTCTGCCCACGCCCTGAGATGAGACAAGGCCATGGCTAACAGGGTCTTCTTTAAGGTAGCTCTGCCTGGCACCCACGTGTGCCCTCCCCTCCCTGAGTCTCGCAGTTCTGCCTCGGTGTTCTCCAGAAGACACTTTCCATTTACCTATCCAGGTGACAACTATACCTGTTTCAAGCGGCTTTTCAGCAAACAGTGAAGAACAAAAAATGCCAACACAGACGTCCCAGCGAGGAATGTGTTAAACTTAAAACATCTTCTCACCCACCTCAAGATGACAGAGTTTACTGAGGGGGTACAAACAGACTACGCACTCACAAGGGGCAAGGGTAAGCAAGGGTAAGTCCTGCCGACCACATAAATGTCCAAAATCAGCCAGGCGAGGTGTGCTGGTGCACATCTTTAATCTCAGTACTCAGGAGGCAGAGACAGGCCAGCCTGGTCTACATAGTGCTTTCCAGAATAGCCAACAACCAGGACTACATACCAGGGAGATCCCATGAAGAAGGAAGAAGGAAGAAGAGGAGGAAGAAGATCATTAGCAGCAGCTGGGCATGAAGACATACATCTTTAATACCAAGCATCTGGAGGCAAGCCTGGTCTATCTGATGAGTTTCAGGCTAGTTAAAGTTATGTAATCAGATGAAACAAAACAAAACATGTAAAAAAAAAAAAAAAATTGGCTCATGCCTATAATCCCAGCACTCTGGGAGGCAGAGGCAGGCGGATCTCTGTGAGTTCAAGGCTAGCCTGGTCTACAAAGTGAGTCCAGGACTGCAAAGGCTACACGGAGAAATCCTGTCTCTCAATACAAAAAATCAATACAACTGGACACCTAAAAAAGGTGAATTTTGTGGCATAAAATTTATACCCCAGTTGGTCGTAGTGGTCCAAACCAAACCTTTAATACCAGGACTAGAGAGGCAGAGGCAGGTAGATGATCTCTGCTGAGTTTGAGGCCAGCCTGGTCTACAAATCAAGTTCCAGGACGGCCAAGGCTGTTACACAGAGAAACCGAAACCCTGTCTCAAAAACCCAAACCAAAAAAGAAAGGAGGAAAAAACAAAAACAAACAAAAAGCTCATATTCCAATAAACCAGACTTGTAAAAAAGTCTTACCCCAAGGCTGGAAAGATGAAAAGGACCCGAACTGTATTCCCAGCACTTACATTACGCAGTGAAGAACTGCCTGAAATTTTAGCTCTAGGGGGATCGAATATCTCTGGCCTCAGTGGCCACTGCACCAATGTGCCCATACTCACACACGTATATTTTTTTTAAAAAAAGTTTAAAATCCGATCTCACAACTGACTGACTCTAGACAGATTATAATTCACAATGCCTGACTCTCAATATCATACCTGGCTCACCTTCCAGAAATACTGCGATCCAAAGGATTAAATAAAAAGTAAATTCTTTTTAACTCTCAACTGCACCAATAGAGTAAGAAAGCAGACAGGAAGCTGAGTGGTAGTGTCACATGAGCAGAAGTAGGAGGAAGATCTCTGAGTTCAAGGACAGCCTGGTCTACAGAGTGAGTTCCAGGCCAGCCAGGGCTACTCAGAGAAACCCTGTCTCAAAAAACCAAACACACACACACACACACACAGAGAGAGAGAGAGAGAGAGAGAGAGAGAGAGAGAGAGGGAGAATAAAGGGGAGAAGTGAAAACACATGTGTCAGTTTAGACTCTGGATTCCAAATGTCCTAAAATTCAAAGCAAACCCTTATTACAGAAGAAAAAAACCTAAAGTGATATCCTATTTAAAATTATTTGTTTTCACAGGCATGGTAACATACTCCTTTATTCCCAGCACTTGGGAGACAGAGGTAGGTGGCTCTCTGAGCGCCAGGCCAACTGGTCCAGGACAGCCAAGAATTACACAGAGAAACCCTGTCTCCCCCACCAAAGTGTTTTTGTTTCAGGGCCCACAGGACAGCTTAGTTAGCAAGGTCCTCACAGGCCACACATAATGCCCAAGCACCATCTCCCAAACAAAGCAAATGTGTATTTGGGGGCTGGAGAGATGGCTCAGCAGTTAAGAACGCTGGCTGCTCTTCCGGAGGACCCAGTTCAGTTCCCAGCACCCACATGGTGGCTCACTGTTACCCAGAATCTGTCGCTCCAGCCCCAGGGGAACCCAATACCCTCACATAGACATGCACGCAGGCAACATACCAATGCACATAAAAATATTTTTTTAAATATATAATTTATTTAACTTTATTTTATGTGCATTGGTGTGAGGGTGTCAGATCACCTGGAACTGGAGGTACAGACAGTTGTGAGCTACCATGTGGGTGCTGGGAGTTGAACCTGGGTCCTTTGGAAGAACTGACAGTGCTCTTAACCACTGAGCCATCTCTCCAGCCCCAAAAATAATTTTTTAAAACATGTGTTTGTGGGGCTGGAGAGCTGGCTCAGAGGCTAAGAGCACTGTCTGCTCTTCCAGAGGTCCTGAGTTCAATTCCCAGCAACCACATGGTGGCTTACAACCATCTATAATGAGATCTTGTGCCCTCTTCTGTCATGCAGATGTACATGCAAATAGAGCACTCATATGTAAAATAAATAAATAAATCTTAAAAAAAAAAAAAAAAACAAAACAAAAACATGTGTTTGTTTTTATTTATATGCAAGAGTATGCTTGTCTGTCACATGTATGTGGGCATTCACTAAAGCCAGGAGAGATGGGACCCCTGGAATTGGAGTCGTTGACTCCTGTGAGCTACTCTAGATGCTGGGAACTGAACTCCAACCTTTGAGGCATCTCTCAAAACCAAAACCAAAACCATGTTTATGCTCTGTTTTTGTTTTGTTTGAAACAGAATCTCATGTAGTCCAGGCTAGCCCCTAACTCACTAAGTAGGTGAGGCTAAGCTTGGCCTCCCTCTGGCTCTACCTCTGTCTCTGTAGATGAGACATAGGCAGCCTTCTTCTGAGAGGCCTAACAACGCACACTTGAATACATCCACAGCCCACACAGGCGACACGGTCAGGTAAAAACAAGGGTTCACCACACATGGTGTCCACCTATAAAAGATGCTCATGTCTACAGCTTAGTGCCAACAACCCAAAGGACTAGATGGAGAGTTAGTCCCACTGGACATGAACTTAAAGCAGCCAAGGAGCTTCCAAGCTGACTTTCATTTGATAACTTGTGGGCACAACATTAAACTCAGCAAGCAGAAACCCAAAAGCACTGGCCTTTCAAAGGTTCACACCTCAGCCACTTGGCAGTTTGCCTCTTTTCAAAGGAAACTGCATCACTCTGCCATCTGCCCATGCTGGGGACGCAGCTCTTCTGTGCCAAGCTCTGAAGAACGGCAGTATCCAAATGCACACGTCTTGCGGAGGCCTTCTCACTTCAGCTCATCCTCTCCCCCACCCCCGACATTTTGAAGAAGAAAACTCACAGTTTCTAGGATCTGGAAAAAGAAAAACGTCTGAATTTAAACTCAGGCAGAACCATCTGAGAGTGCTTGATGGTTTTTCCTGGCAGAGGCTGGTGCTTCGTGGCTTGAAGCTAAAGGTAAAAGGTCTAAGAGGTGGAAGTAATAAATATGTGTGCTGCCTTCTCTCTTTGGGGAGATGCTAACCAACTAAAAACCCATTTTCTCTCTCAAGACCCTGTGAGCATTCTAATGCCAGTCATTCATGAAAAGGTCAACCTAGATGACTTTAAAACAAAGCAAGGAAATGATTTAACAGAGAATTGAGGATGGCAGTTACTTGGGCGAGGACAAGACATAACAAGGAGAGCAACACTTGAGTCTAGATAAGTTTGGATAATACTGAACCTATTTACCAATAAGCTTAATGATGAGTGGTTGGGTGGGCATTTATCACCTTAGTACATACACCACCTATATCCCCTTCTGTATACAGTAAATAGCTGGGATGATAAAAGCCCCCTTCTAAGCTGGTAGGGTGGTTTTTTTGAATTTTTCTTTTTGAGAGAGGGTTCTCATGCTGGTTCTGAATCTGCTATGGAGTTGAGGAGGGCTCTCCTGCCCCCATCTCCTCAGTGCTAGGGTGACACGCATGCACCACCGTCACTGGTTACGAGGCGCAACATGCCCGGTTTGCCAGGGATTTAAGTCAAACACTCCAGCTGTGTACATCCCAGGCCTCCAAAGACACATAGCTTGCAGTGCTGGGAATCCAACCCAGGGCTCTGGGCATGCTAGATACGCACACCACCAACTGAGCTGCATCCCCAGCCCAAGCAAACACCTCAAATTAACCCTCCACACTATATTCATGGGTTAATGACACCTTCCCCCATCACCTTGAAAAACACAGAGGTACAAAATGAAAGTACTTTATCTTTGCCAGTGGGCCATTTGCATCTTAGAATAGACTCACTGGACAGGAAGGCTTAGAAGGATTTGGTAGGTCCTGACTCAAGTGACATGGAGAGTAGGCAGAGGTCTTTTGGAGGCCTTGCCGTCCTTTGAGTCAGGTATGTCACTGCCTGAGTTGTAGGTAAGAGA